CCCTCGAGGTTATCCACCACAGAGCCTATTGCCTTGGTAGCCGCAGTCTCAGTGCCCTTCTTCAGCAGCGTGGCGGTCAGGTGATAGCCCCTGGGGTGCGCGCCATCTGTGCCTGATGACCCTCGCTTCTCCCGCAATTTTGACATCGCGCCTCAGCATGGTGGCAGCAGCCGCCACCGTCCAGGAGACGGGAGGGAAAGAGCAGTATCTCGTCGAGGTGGGGTCGGGAGACCCTGCAGTGAGTTCCTTTGTGGGTAATTCGACCAAGCGGAGTCGATTGGCGAGGTGCACGCTTGGCTCCGAGTTGATCTTCCCTGTGAAATGGATCCCGCCGCATTTATTTTCGTCCAAAGGTGGCGCGAAACCTTCTTTTTTTTTTTTGTTGATGCCGGAAATGGAATCTTCTGTCGGAAGGCGCCCTAGAACCGGTTATTTTTTTTCCTACCGACGGAAACTCGACGAGATACGGAGTTACACACTCTTGTGAGGAAGGCGCCCAAGCGCTACTACTGCTGTGAACTGGGCGAGGACAAGGACAGCGACCCAGACCCAGAGGACAGCCGGGTTGTTCAGGAACACCAACACACGAGCATGACTTCCAGATTAGCTGTATGGCAGTGCGGACTAGTATTCCTGGTGGCATGCTTGCCGCGACAGGCCAGCTCGTTCCTCTTCTGCCCCACGGTACCGAGTGCCGCCTCTCGACCAGGTACAAAACGTAGCCGCTTCCACCCAGACATGATAGCTTCACCTTCTCGCTGACAACGTGCTGCGCTCGCTCGCACGCCGCTTTCATGTACCAGCAACGTGAAAAACTTTGCTGTGGTACATCTGCTGCTGCAGCACGGCTGTGTGGTGAGAACAAAACGGCAAGTTGAACGTTGTAATGTACGGTACCGCACGAACAAACCATGCCCGATGCATGTTTCACAGCTCCACGTGCGAGTGCGAGTGAACAGCACCGACACCAAAGCAGCCCATATATATATAGATATATACTCCCTCTGTCCGAGAATATAAGCAAGGTTTGGACAAAAAGCAATAGAACTCGTGTCTGCCGAACTCTTTTTCCGAACGGTTTTTTTTTCTGGTTCCGCCGCACTGGCGCGCAGCGCGCAGAACCGCTGCTCTTTTCACACCACCTCAACAAAGTGTGTTGCACCCCAGCACAACACGCCCGATTTCACCACCCCAACTTTGGAGCCCCGGTCAAACGCCTTCCCGTCTGCTGGCGGGACATGTCTGCTGCTGGGAGTGCCTCCCAGGGGCTCAAACGCAAGAATTTCAACGTTTCGGAGAGAGAAGAGGTGGTACGCTACCTTCTCGCCGACAGCGAAGACGGGGTTCGGCAGCATGGTTCGTACCACAGAGCCGCGGAGAAGTACGGGTGCCATTGGGAGACCATAAAGAGGATTTGGCAGAAGCACGAGAAGCGGGAGGAATCTGGAGATCCTAGTTTGTACATTGGGAACGACCGCAAGGGCCATTCCGGCTGCAAGGGCATCGATATTGAGAACCTACGTGCCCGCCTCCTTGAGATTCCGCTGAACGAACGCACGACACAGCGCCGCCTGGCCGCGGCGCTCGGGATTCCCAAATCCACACTGCACAACAACCTCAAGGCGCTTGGATTGAGAGCGCATTCCCCCGTATCCGACGAGGCGTGGCTGAAAGGGACGGCGGCACTCGCGGCGCTGGAGGGGCAAGGGGGGGCCGCAGGAGGGCGCGGGGGGGCTGCAGGAGGGCGAGGGGGGGCTGCAGGAGGGCGAGGGGGGGCTGCACGAGGGCGAGGGGCGGCTGCAAGAGGGCAGGGAGGGGCGGCTGCTGCAGGGCAGGGAGGGGGGGCTGCAGGGGGGCCAGGGGCGGCGTAGAATGAGGTGGTTGCGGTGTACTCCGGAGTATGCAGTAGATCGTGTGACCGAGAAGTAGCAGGGAGCGGCTGCAGTGGGGCAAGGGGCGGCCGATTACGGTTTCGCCGGACTGTGTAAACGGAGACGGCTGCCATGGAGTAGAGTTGTTTGGCTACCGAGGCTGATGGGCAGGCGCAGAAACAGGCAGCAGGTTCGGGGCGCGGGTCATGTTGGTTTTCTATGATGACGTGAACACGGGGATGATAATTAACCATCCCCTCCCTTTTCGTGATGCTCCATGTTTTTTCATCCAAAAAGTGGCGTTATGTCTAATTCTAGCTCTTCGAAGTACTTTCATCACACTGGACAGATATTACGTCCTGTCGCTGGGTATGCCAAAATTCCGCCTTTTCCCGGACCAGGGGATGGTAACGCACCATCCCCCCCCCATCGAGCGGATTTTTTTTTTTCTCTCTCCAATGTCATATGTGATCGTTTGCCAAAGTTGTCCGACGTCCACCGTGCCCAAATGGCACGTTTCCGTCAATATTCTACAAACCTTGCTTATATTCCCGGATTTCCAAACCTTGCTTATATTCTCGGACAGAGGGAGTATAGATATATATGTTTGACGTTGCACATGCGAACTGCGCTACTTCGGGGACACACAGACTCGGCTTCTGATCGCACGAACGGTGGCGACCGTTCAGTTGTCTCATGGAGTGCAGTGACAACCGTTGTCGATGTGCTTTGCTCCTCTCGAACACAAGTTATCACTTCCTGTAGTCCGCGGCGAAGTAGCACGTGAAAATGATTGTGCAGTGCTCTTAGTCTTGAAGTCGAGAGCAAGACAAAGTCGCAGCGGTGTGGCATACTCATATAACATCGGTACAACGGCGAAAGCTCTCCGTTACCCCACATATTCCCGCGGTCGTGCATTTCGCATGCATTCCTTGACGGTACCGCTGTACGGTCAGTCCGACGCCTTGCGCCCACCATATCGAATTGGTTGTCGGGTGAGAGGCTGATCGTCATTCATCACACTCACAAACACACACTGTGTACTTCCAACGCCAAAAGTCGACGGTAACACCTCACACCGATTTCGTTCGGTTGACAAATGGCTGGACATCAACGTTTCGGTCATTTTCACCACTGCCTGCTGCCGCCATTGCCTGCATGGATGTATACGTGCACGCGCCGTTCCGCCCAGCCCGAGCATCGACCACCACTGCCGCCGCACCCGAGGGTGATGCCTCGGCCCAGGAGGGCACTACCGCCACCCCGCCGCCGTCTCTCGACCGTTCCGCCCCCCTCTCCTTCATCGCCAAGAACAACGTCAACCTTGATGGGGACTTCCTCTCGAACAAGGAGGGAGAGCCGACGGCGGAGGAGCTCTCGAACGAGAACCTCATCAAGATCGTGGCCGAAAAGAGCACGGACGAGGAAGTAAATGTCATCGTGTGGAAATGCTTGGGTGAGAGCTGGGATCTGATGTCGAAAGGAGGAGGTGCACCATGAACTAACTTTTCAGACGAGTCAAGCACATGGCCCTGTGTATGCGTCCATAGAACTTCCCATCCACGTCGGCAAACCCGGAAAGCAGCGCGCCTGGCTGTCAGACGCCAGGCAGGCGTTTCCCGGCGGGTCAATCCGAAGAGCGACTGCACCCCGAGAACCTTTTGCGTGAAGAAGATTGAGGACATTCTCATACCTCCGGCGGGGTATATGGCTTCGACTTACTGCTTGCCGTTATCGATTTCCCTGTGGCAACGGCCAGGCATCCTTCGAGACACGATGCCTTCCCTGCGTTCCCGTTCTGCCTGTTGCGCCTTTCGGTAGTGCCAGCCACCACGGCGATGCCAGCCACCATGTTTTTGGACTTCACCCAACGTTTCTCTAGGGGTACAAGGACATGCGCGTTTCGCACTATCCTTCTCGGATGGGTTCTTTTCCATCGCAACCAAACCATCGCTTCTCGCTCGCGGGGTGTTGTGCGGGCGGCCCTTCCTCTGCCCAGGCTACCGGTACGACGCTGGTGAGGACGCGTGGAAGGCCGTAAAGGTGTTTCCTCGATGGGAGGCCATGTACCCGGAACCCCCCGATCTCCTGGGGGTAACACGCGTGTACGAGAAGAGTGTCGATAAGCCCGTCCTAAAGGCCGTGCAGGTGCGGTGTGTCCTGCTCGGAGGACGGTGGTGTATCGCTAGCGAAAAAATCCCACAGGCTATAACCATTTGGACTTGTATGATTCGACAACGTTGACCCCTCGTTGAGGCCACTTCCATTGTTGGTATTGACCACGCTTACAACTGCTGTGCCCCACGCGTATTGAACACGTTTACAACTGTGCCCCACGTAGGAGGATCGGTCGCGTTGAGTGTATCATGTTTTGATGTTCGGCCCCTTCACGTACCACCGCACCTTGTGCTGACATGTGCCCAGAGATTCTTTTTGCACATCGTCGAGCCTTGGTTACACTTTGATAGTAGCTCTCTAGGGCTAACCGATGTTGAACGTAGCAAGGCTAGGTTCTTCACGCGAGCAAGGCTAGGTTGCTCACCCCGCATCTACCCTAACCCTAACTCTAACCCTACCCCTCACCCACGGCCAAAGCACGGCCTAGCGGCCGCGAACAGGGCGGCACGCGGCTGCGCCGTGTGCTCGGAATGCGGAACGGGGAGAGGGCGCTGGAGAGGAATCGGCCGACAGAACCAACGCCGAACAACGCCCGACCAATCAGAACGTGTTAGTCCTAGAGACCTCCTATTTATCAATGTGTAAACGCTACTCACATTGTCACAAGGTACAAATAAATCGCCCTCCAGACATGGTGGGTAGACTAAGTATGCCTGATACCTCAACAAAGCACGCGTTGGCACGGAAAACAAGAGGCAATAGATAATTCCCGAGGATAAAGTCGATCTGCCTGGACACGAGCGTGAACGAACACGTCACCGACCGAGCCCTCTCTCATAAAGGTCCGCAGGAATCTATCGGCGTGTGTGTCCATGCATTACTGGTCCTAGCTGCCCGCTTCGAAAACCCTCACCACGCCCCGCGGGAGGTGATGCGATGCTACTCTACCTTGTGAAGGCAAGGCGCACAAGTTAACCACCATTTCGGCACCACCGGGTGATGGTGCATGGAGTCGCTTGAAACGAGGTGTCACGACGGTATACTTATTTCTCCTGCCACCCTGCGAGCCTTTCAAGGGCTCGCGCCTGTTCTCACACAATCGAAGCTTGTTGAACACACGCATGAACGTGTTCTCAACCAGATGTTGCGTCTACAAGCCTCTCGTGCGCTCGCCTCGATATGTGCCCGTTGCCGCTGCGTGTTCCTGCTGATTGAAGGCCCTGATCAGGGCCGTCCCTTCGGAGCATAAGCGTTGCATCGTGGAACAGCTGAGACCGATAGGATTTACAGGCCTGACGCTGGACGAGCTGACTCCGAACAGAACACGCAGGGCCCAGGTGAGACCTTTTTTCTTTTTTCGGAACGGGCACCTACAGTTGCAGCTCAATGTAGGGCACCTGTAGTGTTTTCGCGAGTGCTTTTCTCATGGGCTCTACAGATTGTGCGCGATTCGACTTCAACGAAGGCGTTGCGAGCCAATCAGCATGTGTCCAGTGGGGGCTACGCTGCAGTAATGCGCCGTGTGCGTGGATGGCTTCTTTCCACCAGAACATGCAGAAAACCTTCAAAGCATTTTGCAGTATGGACTCTTCCTTGTCGCATGTACGGGTACCGGTTGTTTTGGAAGGACCACTTGCAGTCTGCACTTCGGTAGCCGTGCCAACCCTTTCCCGCAAGTTCTGGCGCTTTTCACCCCACACCTCTTGCAAAAAACCATACCTCATCATTTTCGACCCCGTTCACATCACCGGAGGAGATTCATCGTGTAGAATCAAGCATTATTTTCTCGCATAGTTAATTTCGAAAATACCGTTTCCCCCCGTTGGTTTGAAGTCAATACCCCATACTAGGCCCCTGAGTGCTAGCTCTCCCTGTCTCTGTCGCTGTCGTTGAGACCAACCTTCGCTGACAGATACCTCGCACGCCGCGTTGGTTGCCGTTCTTTATTACCCGCCATCTGCTGTCCGGTACATCTTCCTTCCTCTCCCCGCCGTCTCAAAAGGTGACAAACTTTCTGCTGTATTTCCGAGATCAACTTTGGGGTGTTCCCTTGGAAGAGGTCGAGCGACGTAGAGTGGAGAGGATCGAAGCGGCCAAACGGGAGGCGGAGGCCGGAAAAGAAGCTGGAGCGTAGCCGTTGACGAACGATGGGCTATAACAGGGCCTCTCCGATACACCGCTGCTGCGTAGGCGATGGGCAATGAGATGGTCGTTGCTTGCAGTATCGTCGCACTTGGTACTGCAGGGCTTGGGTTGCCGTCGTTCGAAGGGCGAGCTGCATGCTGAATTCACGCCTGGTGCTTCGATGCCGAGAACCATGACTGGGTGTACGAGGCCTTTTCGAAAGATAGGTGTGTACGCAACACGCGTGTGGTGGATACGTTCCTAGAAGGTCCACATCAGCGATGGTAACTTCCCACCTCGGGGTACAGAAAGTTCAGGATATTCCAGCGGTTCGGCCGACCTAACAGGCAGATAGAGGAACCGAATCGCTTTGTCGCAGCCAGCCACCGTCCGTTGATGGTCCAGCCACCGCTGTTGGGAGGAATAATCTGGCTTGCTCTCGAAGTTCCATGGGTAAACGGTGGATGATAATCGAATCGAAAGCAAATGTTGCAACCTGTCGCTCGCGTGGACCACGACAATGTTTTCGAGATCACTATTCACTAGTGGCAACGATGAGGCCAACATGAAAGACAACGAGGAAAGTTCATGATGCCGGGAAAAAATAAGGAACGAAAAAATGTGCTCAAGCAGGGGATCGAACAGGGACTCATTCGGCTATGGATCAATCCATCTACCCCGTGAGGAACTGTCACGTAGGCTTCTACGGGCAGTGCAAATTCGGTATCATGCTGTCTATTACCTTCCGGGTTTGAATGTGCGGCGTAAACCTCTCCGTTTTTCGCATACCAACAGATAGATATCTTGGAAAGAGCTACCACGTTGGCATGTCAAAGCCGCGGTGATCGGTCCCATACTGTTGTCTTGTCAAGAAAGGGTAGGCACAGCGAGTGCGTCAAGATCCGAGCCTCGGTGTAGCTGCGCCGGGAAATCGTTACTGGAGAAAGCAGACGAACATGCCCACTTCGCCTCGCAAGACGGTATCGCGAATCTCAAGCATGCTTTCCCCGTTTCCCGTGTTCTGTGATATCATCGTGGTTTGGGGTGTGCTGTGATCTGTGGTGGGAAATCCCACGAATAGTGTTGCACGCGGTGAACAATCCTGATATACCTCACCCTCTGTTTTACCCTTTATTTACGAAGTATATACAACATCAGAGAACTTGGTTTAGGTATAGAGCGGTGGGGGCGACTCCTCGTATTTTCGTATTTCCCGGTTTCATGTGCACATCTTCTTGCCTTGAACATGGTACCCCCGTGACCACCCATCATCCATGGATTATAGACCAATCGAGTTTTTGGGCACTACAATCCACAGCCAACTGCTGTGTACTGCTGTCATTCTAGGGAACTAACTGCATTGCACGTCATACTGCCGTCGACTGTCGGGACGCCTGACTACTTCTCCACACGAGAGTACCAAACCCTATGAAAAGCGTCGATGATACTGCTGTAGTATTGTTCGCAAGGTCGCTGTATGCATACGGAAGACGTCCATCAGCAGTACAATAGAGAAAACGGGTAACTAGATCTGCCCTCTTTTGACACATAATTCTAATACGTTATCGGAAACATCCTTCTTCCGTCTCCAACGAGAGAAGCAGACCAACCAGATGCAGCACATATGCAGCCGCCCCACGCCCTCAACCAACTCGTGCCCGCGCCAGTCCCGATCTTTCTGTGGCTGTCGGTTTATTTTTCCATGTGCCGGTTGAGTGTCTCCATCACTTCGAGCTGCTCTGGTTCGGTGGGAAACCGATGCGTTGCACCCTCCACGACAACGAGCTCTTTGTTATGCAGCACTTTCTCGAACTCGTAAGCATCGGCTACCGGGATGGTCTCATCTTCGGTGCCGTGAATGGTCAGGACCTTCCACCGCCTGCAACAATGTTGATGATGACAGTCCACGACGACGAAGGTCATAAAAAATATTGCGTACAGAGATTGCCGGGGAGGCTTGCAGTGAGGGTAGGGCAGTATGTTGTGTTGGGATGCCCAAGAGTAGGGGGAATTGAGACTGCCCGTGGTACAGTATGCAAAATATCTAGGCTGCCCAAGCTTGGTATATCCGTCAGGTCACATGTGGATACTGTTAAGACCGTCAGTCGCACACAGACACTCAGGAGATCGCTGCGGCCGTCTTCTTCATGTCGAGCGCGGCGAGCTCCTCAAAATCACGTTTCTTAATGGTGAGATGTTTCCCCTGCAAGTAACGAAAACGGAAAAAATGCACCGGGGGACGGGGCAGGGAGATAAAGTAGACGAGCGTGTCACCTGCATGAAACCAACCTTGTTTTCGAGGAATTATCCGGTATCACTTCAGCAACAGCGTTGAAACCAAAGAAGAGCCATATCGACCTCGTACAGCAGCTTCCTTCACTCTTGCTGAGAATTTCACGCAAGCGCACGCGGCTCGGACCTCCAACTCTCCGGAATAATACACCTGCTCTAGCCCAGCCTTGTTTTTTGTTTTTATGTTGGCTCGGGCAGCTTGTCTTCCGTACACCAGCGTCATCGCGATGAACTCGTCGTCCTTGCTGTTCGCAACACCAAAAATATTCGGAAACCATGTCTGCGTTTTGAGCGTTGGCCGTCGTTTCCTTCGTGTCCTACTTGCGAAATCTTCGAAGGTACACATCCATTCCCGAAACCAGACAGGCCGCGTCCCGAACGCTGGTATCATGCATGCGTAGACAAGACAAGACAACACACTCCGACGTTCCACTCGAAAGACCCCGTCTTCTCTAGCTGGTCCCACTGCTCCTTCGTGAAGCGGGATCGATCGAGGGTCCGGCTCGTGTCGAACCGACCCGCGACGTTCACCAGGAGTGGGACATCGTCAAAAGCCTCCCCGTACCGCAACGGCCGCAACGCCTGCGATTTCGTTCAATCCGAGAAACACAACACAACTTAGCACAATACCCAAACAAAAACATCGAAGCAGACAATGAGCAGTTTGCTGTAAAGCGAAATCGGAACATGGTGAGTTAACAGCAATTCCATCCGTGCCTTGTTTACTTTGAGCCCGGACGAACCCCTTCCAACACGCGGTCGAGACTATCTGCCTCACCCTTCGAATGGCCCAACAAGCAGTCTACGTTCCACCCAAGCTCCCTTAGCCGAAGCATAACCGCTCGCAAGTCGCCCCGTTCTCTCTGGGAAGCCATGGTCACACACGTACACACACATGGGCGTTGGGAGATGAAAGCACAACAGCGTCGCTCAACTTGCCGGTGCGGCTCCATTCTTAAACGCTAACGCTAAGTCACTTTTTGATGCAGGGAAAGAGTGTGGGGGGGGGGGTTCGTGCGTTGAAGCCCATGGCAAGAAACTCCGAAATAGAGCCGCAGCCGCATCGTGTTGTACTGCTTTCAAAAACAGGACTGGAACAAGCAATAGCGGGCTGGAGTGACGGGCAGACCGTCATGAGGGTCACGGAAGTGCTCGTGCGTAGTCAAAGGAAGGGATGAGCAGAATTAATCATTGGTTTGACCGCGACATGAGGCCACATACGTTTCTCTCTTGCCTTCCTCGAGTACACGTCAGCTGGGCGGGGTTGCTCCCGGAAAGACTGTCACATGCTTGCTCGAGACCCACACAATCACGCCAAACGACTTTTCGATATCTTCACACGACCAACGCATCCATGGCGCAGTGACGCTGCTTCATTGACCACTTACATCGTAGCCGGCGTACCTCCAGTCTCCCCCGGACTGCCCGCACCCGGCAAAGTCGAATCTACGAAAGAGAAAACACAAGGGGCGGGTATGTCAGCAAAGTATTAGACTACTTCAATACAAGGGCTCAGACGCTGGGGGGCTCTATCTAGATTATGTCATCCGAAACACCCAGGATAGCCGTATTAATCAGAGTTGTTGCCACCGCGCGGTTCTTTCTTGAATCTGAGGAGTTCTCCCCTTCCCTTCCCTCGCTCCAACCACGCCCTTTGGCAAGGAGTTAGTCGGTGTGCCATACTGCGCGCTTCTTCGTGGCCATCAAGACGTGGCCATCATGACGTGGCCATCATGACGGGGGCAAAGCAGGGCTATTAGACTAGAGTAGAAGCAGTGACGTGCAGCAAATCGTTGTGTCCGCTACAGTATTTGTCATTTGTACTTTATTTGGGGGCAGTTGGCTCGCGACCACGGAAGGCGTCCGCGTCAGTTGGGCCAACAGGGACGTTAGAAGGTACTGAGCGGAGACCGGAACGGTTTTTTATGTGAAGACAGCAACAACAGTAACAACATCTATCTGTTGTTGTGTCTGCCCCGGCCAGTTGGTGTTTTGGTGTACCACGTATGCATAGTTAAAGTCCAGGGTACATGCATCAGATAGATAGTCTAGGGGTACATGACCTACCTGTGCTGCCACATGCATGCCACAAATATCTGTCTCTTTACGACACTTCTTGCCTGAAGGTATCCTCTGAGAGCTCTCGGCTTGCGAATACGGGAACCGTGCCTTCGCAGCTCGAACACTCCCGTGGCAGAGAATCCATACCGACTTGGAGTCCTCTCGTTTCACCGTCAGGATGTCATTCAGATCGTAACCTTCTTCCTCGTTCTTGATCACCACCTGCGAACTTCCTAGTACCGTGGCGGCTTCTGCTCCTCTCGCCGGTTGCAGGGCTTCGGCTTGGTTGCTCGTAGCCGACATTTCCTACCGCCTAAATCGGCGCATGTTGTATTGTTGGTGATGCATGATGAACGACTGGGAACTTGTCAAACCCATTTGTGATAGTGTCGGCTGTGGGCATAATAGGCGTTACCAGTCCATGTGTAGCAGTTACATCCATCGAGCGAAAATCGGGCTGGAGCCCCGAGGATTGTGTTGGCGTCAACAGGACGGTCTTTGCTGTTGCGCTGCATTTACGTAGATGGTGGGGGCCGATAGAGTCAGCCAAGGGCCGTGTGCGCCCCCTGTCTCTCTTCCAGCGATCAACGAGAGAAGCCCAGAATCAACTGCTTCTCTACGAAAGTCGGCTCTGCCCTGCAGTATCGCGACCACATTGTGCACACGCCTACCTACCTGCTGTAACACAGCAGTTTGCAGCAGATTCGAGTCCGTTCGTCGTTTGTGCACAAAAAGTATGAATACTCCCAGCGATGAATCAGTACCATCAACATAGTTTATGGAGCAGCAGAGTGTAGTCTACCTCCGATAGAGTCATCGCCGTGTTATTTTACTCACCGTACAAGAGATTCAGCCGGGTCCAAAAAAGCGAACAAAACTTGCGATAAACAGACTTGCGGGAAAAATGGGAACGTATCCAAAAATGAGAATTGGCGTTTTTCTTCAGGACCATCGGGTGTATCACAGAACCAAAATTATCCTGCGAAACCCCTTCGCCCCAGCTGTGAGATGAGCTCATCAGAACCGCCATGCTCCACATCACGCCTTCTCACGGGCGCAAAAAGCGATTCGTGCTGGTTTCGACCTGATTTCTCGCGATGCTGGCTACCTCGGCGATGCCGAGGACATACAGCTTGAGCAACAGCTCATTCGAAAGCTGCTGTAAAGACCTACAGCACTGTCAACTAATTTGGGGGGAGTTGCAAAGGCGTGGTTTGCTTTCGAAAATCAAACGCCCATTCTCATTTTTGGATACGTTGCCATTTTTCCCGTAAGTCTGTTGATACC